AAAAAAAAGCTTAAGGATATGTCCTTAGACTGTGCTAAGTGGTGTTAAAAATAGTACTATCTTCAAGAACAGGCTAAAAATATATAAGAATAAATAAGTAAATTATAGCTTTTTTTTTTTTTTTTTGAGACAGAGCCTCAAGCTGTCACCCTGGGTAGAGTGCAATGGCATAACAGCTCACAGCAACCTCCAACTGCTGGCTTAAGCGATTCTGTTGCCTCAGCCTCCCAAGTAGCTGGAACTACAGCCGCCTGCCACAACACCCGCCTATTTTTGGTTGTATTTGTCACTGTTGTTTGGCAGACTTGGGCTGGATCTGAAACCACCAGCTCTGGTGCCTGTGACTGGCACCTAAGCCACTTGAGCTACAGGTGCCAAAACTCAAATTCATTTAAATTGTATTAAGTTATTGAAATCAATGAAAGAGTGAGAAACAGCTCTAGCAAACACCTTAAATTACATAAAAAGCCAGTATCGAGACTCTCCACCTGCTTTAATTAACCCTTTTTTTCTTACAAAGTATAGATTTGTTTCCTAATTAAACTGTATCAGGTACAGCTGCAGTACTTTTCTAACAACAAAGAAACTCACAGCAAGAGCAGAGAAAAAGAAGTCATGTAATTCTGTTAAAGCCAGTTAATTCTACTTCTACCCTAATGTAAGAGGTAAATATTAGTGGGAAAGATGACCACTTCCTTCATAGACACTAGGGAATAAGGATGTCTGGGTTTTTCAATGTTAAGTTCTACTTGGAGGCAAAAACCTGATTGAATGACTTCTTAGCTAAATTATACTCTAGGACAGTGGTTCTCAACCTGTGGGTCATGACCCACAGGAACTGTATTAAAGGACCGCAGCATTAGGATGAGAACCACTGCTCTAGGAGATCACAATTATGATAGGTCAAACCACTAGTATTCTCAAGTTCTCTTCAGAGGTGGATGCTATAAAGTCAAGAGTTAAAAAAAAAAAAAAAAACAAGAATCATTAGAATAACATAACACAATAGCAGTGAAACTGAAAGGAACTAAAATTAGAAAACCAAGGAATCAGAAAACCAGAGTTCCACCCTCACTATCATCAAACTGAGCAGATTGCTTCCTCTAGGAGTCTTGTCAAGTAGGATTACTGACTTAACCCTTTTTCACCTAGAAATACTGCCAAGATTAAAGTGCTTTTACTTAAAAGGAAACACAAGCACAGCTACCATTTTGCTATATATGAAGCAGTTCTAAGGCAGCTACTCAACACTCATTCAATTACATGTGAGCTCTCAGAAGCATCTGGTACCCTTAGAGAACGTCCTTTACATGCCTTCCAGGAGCTACTCCCCTGGTTTTCATCCTACTTCTAGAAGCTACTCCTCAGTCCCTTTGACACCTCCTTTTCTCTCCATCCTCTAGATGTTAAAATACCCCCAAGGCTTAGTCCTTGGCTCTCTCCTTCCCTCTCTCTATGCTCTCCTGCTAGCTGATCTTATCTTGTACTATGGCTCAAAACAGGGATCTCAGCTTATACAGTATCTCCAACTTGAACTTTCCACTGAGATTAAGACTTGTAGGCTCGGCGCCTATAGCTCAACCGGCTAAGGCGCCAGCCACGTACACCTAAGGTGGCGGGTTCGAATCCCCAGCCCGGACCTGCCAAACAACAA